GGCGGGCACGGTGGCACTGGTGGCACTGGTGGCGCTGGTGGCACCGGTGGCACTGGTGGCGCTGGTGGCACTGGTGGCACTGGTGGCGCTGGTGGCACCGGTGCGCGCAGGGCAGGAGGACAGCCGCGTGCTGCCCTCCTCTGGCTGCCAGGGCCGGGCCAGGCGGAGGATCCGCTTCCAGAGCATCACCTGGATTATTGTCCCAGTCCACGGGCTGCAGCACGAGTGGGGGCTGTACACACCCGATGGAGAGGACAGAGCATGGAGCGAGCCCCTGTGCACCAGCACTGTGCCCTCTCAGCTCCATGCTCTCCCCTGCCCGGGCACAGGTCGCTGGTGTGCACACCCAGGCGCTGCCAGATCTGCCGAATGGCACATTTGACCTGGACCAGCTGGAGCTGACCATCCGTGAGGCCCACGGCAGCCGGTACCACCCGCGCCCCGAGCTCATCTGCCTGGAGAACACGCACAGCTCGGCGGGGGGCCGGGCACTGCCCCTCACCTATCTCAGGCAGGTGAGAGCCCGCAGATGGTGCTGGCACAATCCTGCCTGGCGTGGGCAGCTGGGCCCTGCACAGTGGCACTGCGGGGGCACTGGAGCGTGGAGCACGGCTTGTGGCAGCACCAGATGCCCCAGGGGTCCCTCCCAAACCAGCTGTCCCTCTGACTCCCAGGTCCGTGGGCTCGCTGACCGTTACGGGCTGCGGGTGCACATGGACGGCGCACGACTGATGAATGCAGCAGTGGCCCAGGGTGTGGAGCCAGCTCAGATTGCCCAGCACTGTGACTCTGTGTCCCTCTGCTTCTCCAAGGTCTGCTTGTGTGGGGAGGGGTCCCCAGGGCTGGCAGGGGCTGGCACAAGCCAGACCTTGGCCCTTGTTTGCAGGTGTTGAGCTAAGAACACACCTGACAGGCTGGGCCCCAACCCCTGAGGGGCAGGTGCCCTGGGACAGCTGGAGTGACCCCGCTGGTGGTTCTGCAGGGCCTGGGTGCCCCGGCTGGTGCGGTGTTGGCAGGGTGCAGGGAGTTTGTCACCGAGGCCTGGCGTGTGCGGAAGCTGCTGGGCGGGGGCATGCGGCAGGCGGGAGTGCTGGCGGCTGCTGCCCGCCTCGGGCTGCGGCGCGCGGAGGCGACACTTGGCAGAGACCACACCAATGCCCAGCGCTTTGCAGAAGGTACCTCGGGTTCCCTGAGTGTGCTGGGATGTAACAGCACACCTGGCACTGCCCAGCAATACACAGCACCAGTGGCTTGGGCACCATCTCTGGATGGCCGCACTCCATCTCCAGCCAGCTGAGGATGCTGTCGGGATCCTCACCTGGCTGAAGTGCCAGGATCATGCTGTGACTGTCCCCGTGCTGTGCTCAGTGACCCTGGTACCACAAGGGGGGAGAAAAGGCTCTCCCTCATCCAGAACCTGGGGCAGGGCTGGGGCAGGTAGTCTCTTCCAGGTAGCTGGGCAGTGGGTTTGCACAACCTCGGCCTCCCACAGGTATCCATGTGCTGGACTCTCCCCTCTTGTCCATCAACCTGGCAGCAGTGGAGACCAACATCGTGATGGTAAATGTCCAGGGGGCCTGGCCGTCCCCCGCTGAGCTCTGTGACCGCCTGCGTGCCGTCAGCGAGGAGGAGGTGGCTGAGACTGGGCAGGCTGTCAGCGTCTTGCTGCTCCCCTGGTCAGCACGGACTGTGCGCGCTGTCTGGCACCGCCACATCTCGGACCGTGACACCGAGCTCGCAAGGAGAAAGCTGGAATTTGTGGCCAGGAAGTGCCAGGAGGAACTGGCCTTGGGACTGCATCCCATGTCTCCAGGCACTGGGGGAGCCTGAACGTTCTGCCAGCCCCGCAGCTGCAGCAGTTGGGCAGCTCAAAGCAAGGACTGGGACCAGCCCCTTTGTGCTCCAGATGTGTTCCCAGCCGTCACATCAGCCCTCACAGGCAGCCTGACAAACCAATGTGAGCCCAGCCTAGCAGAGACCCCGGCCCTTGAGGCAGTCAGTGCACAAAATAAACACATTTTACTGTAGTTAGGTGTCGCCCTGAGAATTAAGCCTTTTGATCTTGTTTTCATAGTTTCTAGCTACTTTCCCAGGAAAGTAACTATAAACATAGATGTTTATACATTTCATTGAAGAAATGTCTTTTGATGGTCATTTCTCACGACCAGTGTGGTTGGGAAGGTGGTAACCTAACTATGTAATCTCTGGTCGTTGTCAAGAATCTATAAATATTGAAACCACAGAATAAATTGCACTATTTTTCCTATCACACATTGAGCTGTGTCCATGTGAATTATTTTGTGTCCAACAACGATAGTTAGGTACTGTGCAGGTACTGTAGCTGTGAAGGGTGTTTCCCCTCAAATGTGCTCTTTTCCTTGCTCTGCAGGAACATCATCATCACAGCCAAGGTCCCAGCAGAGGGACAAATGCTCCTGAGGACATGGAAGCATCTCAGCCACAGGATCAGGGTTGCTGCACAGCAGTGCCAAGGTTTGTGTCAGGCCAGGACTGTCCCAGGAGCATGAGCCCAGCCTGGCCCAGATGGCTCTGTCACTCCCATTCACAGAGGTTTATGTCATTCTGTCCCACAGCAGCAGGTGGGCTCCTCAGGCTTCCCTGTCATGTTCTGGGTCAGCAAGGCCCAGAACTCTGCACTGGAAGAAGGGATTCTCTCAGCAGCAGTTGCTTTGGGTGTGCACTCATTGGCTCCCTGGGAAGCACTACCCCAGGCAGCAGTAATTCTCATTTTATTTTGTATTGTCAATGTGCAGTTTAAAGGGCACTGAGGGAACAAACTTCATGACCCAGCTGCCCAGACAGAGCCTTGCAGCCCTTGGTCCCCTGCACTCCAGCAGGCAGGAACACCCCAGGGAAGGGGCAGAGGCTGCGCTGTGCAGAGAGGGCACGGTGTGGGTCTGACACAGTCCCTGTGGGTCGCCCTGTGTTAGACCGAGGAGGCAGTGGGATCCAGATGCCTGTTGCCACCACACAGGGCCATGGTCCCCATCTGTTTACTCCTGACATGCCATCATGCTCTTGAAATCATGTTCAGAATCACCTGGGATGAGAAGCCAAACCCTGTGAAAAGCCCCTGACCCTGCACCTTCCTGCAGGGAGGTGGCAGCCCACCTGACCCGCCCTGGCACAGCCCTCCTGTGTCACTCACTACGGCCTCACTCACCGCCTACCTGAGTGAGGACGTAGCTGTCCTCCGACAGCTTCTCAATGACGTCAAAGTGATCCACACCAGCCAGATCCAGCAGAGAGACAGACCAGCCAGCTGCACGCAGGGCCTGTGGAGAGAGCAGTGCCGGCAGGATCAACCCCAAACCCCACATGCCCTGGACATGCAGCAGGAATAATGTCTCAGCAAGGACTGGTGTTCTCCAGTGAGCCAGAAACTGCCCTGGTTCAGCACAGAAGCTTTTCTTCCCGGTTGGGCAAGTTGGTGAGGGCTGCCTGGAGCAGTGTCGCCACCAGAGCCGAGCAGGGTGCTGCTGGAGCTCACCTGGCCACGCTCCTGCGACCGCCTGATGCTCACCTGGCTGTACTCCTGTGATTGCCTGCGAAACTCTGGGGAGTCGTGCTGGGCTACAGCCACGAGCACCTCACAGGCTGCTGGCACTGCCGGGGCGACATGTCTCATGGGGCTGTTCCTCTGGGCCACCTCCCTGCAGGAGTCACACCAGTGGCAGCTCACGCAGCCCTTTGCTCCAGGAGCACCCGTCCCATCAGTTGGACTCACCAGCTGGGGCAGGCATAGGGGCAGGGTGGCTGCAGAGCCACTGACGTTCGCCTGCCTGTGCTCTGTCCCCGTGGCTGTCCCCAGGGCTCACCGGCTCATGTTAAGAGCATCATTCACATAGGTGTCCAGGATGGGCTCCAGGTCATACACGCCGCTCACCAGCACTGCTCCTGAAGGCAGAGGCACTGGCAGGTGAGGAGCTGCAGCCTGGGTGGCTCCCACAGCCCTGGGGACCTCAGAATCAGCTGGGGCTGCACAGCCCAGGTGTGGAGACCAGTTCTTCTCCCAACCCTCTTCTGGGACATGGCAACATTACCTTTGATATCTGGCACCACTTGGAATTCTGTCCAGTCTGTGGACAGCACCATGGCTGCCAGGTGGGCCCCTGCCGAGTGTCCGCACAAGTAAATGCCTCTGAAAGGAAGGAGCAGCGAGCCGGTAGGAGGGAGCGACTGAGAGGGGCACCTAGGGACACTTAGGTACACTTTATTCCGTGCAGAGGAGGTGGCACAGCTCGAATGTGTCAGCTCAGATGTTTCCCAATCTGTCGGCTGCTGCCTCATGCAGTTACGGGATTGTGGCCACAGGCACTGCCCAGTGTTTGGATCGAGGTGCCAAAACCTTTGTCCCACTGCAGGCCGTGTTTGTCCCCACAGCCAGTCTCACAGACCACCCCCCGACCTGGGAACCACCCACCTGATCCTGGGGTAGCGCTCCGCCAGGAAGACGAGGCTGCGGCGCACCTGCAGCACCATGGTGTCCATGTGGCCTAAGCAGAGGACAAAGGGCAGGGTCGGAGGGCACTGGGCTATGCAGGCAGCTGCAGCCTCTGCAGGGCAGCACCTACCTTTAGGGGCTATGTCGTACCCCACCGCCACCACTGCCACCCCCTGCGACACCAGCGGGGGGGCTGCAAACCCCGAATGGTCCTTACTGGGGGACAGAGATGCTGTCAGGCTGCGGGAACCGGGGGCCGCAGGGCCAGCTGGGGACCGGTCAGACCCGTGTGCCCAGAGCGAGTCCCAGTGCCAGGAGAAGGGGTCAGCAAGAGCTGGTGAGGGGTCCCTTCCCGAGGAGTCTCTCACCTCAAGCACTGCCAGTATCCGCCGTGGATGTAGACGAGAGCCGGGAAGGCTGTGCAGCACAGCGGGGGATGAGCCGGGTGTGCACCCTGCCCACTCCCGTCCCCGCCACCCCCGCCACTCACTTTCAGAAGGGTCCGTGGGAAAATAGATGTCCAGCTTCTCCCCGTCCCCGTGGCCATAGGGGACGTGCAGCGAGGTCTGCGCGCTGGCCCGAGCGCGTTCGGTTCCTGCGGGAGGGGAGGCGGTGGAGCACGGGGCCGTGGCACCAAGCGCAGCCCCTGTCCCGGCGACGCACGCTCCCCACCTGCCGCCATCACCGCGACGTGGGCGTCGATGATGGTGTCCCGGCCGAGGCGGGGGGACCAGTGACTGGGAGAGTACTGGTCCTCCAGCGCCTGCGGGGAG